AAAAAAAAAAAAAAAAAACCAAAAAAAAAACCCCAGCCAACCACAGGGACCAGAGAGTTGGGGCATGCCATAAATCCTTAGCTAGTGTAAAGAAGCTAGGTTATTCTTACAGCAACTTGATTGCATAGCCATGCCTTTTATTAAGATATAATAGAAATCTTTACAGTCCTGCCATCAGTTTTGAAGCTGGCTGGAAGGCAGTTACAGTGGCCGAGCCTGTGTCTCTTTACATGACCAAAGTAACTCAAAAGATGACCTGTCCTATGCTAAATGTATTTATTAAAATCTTTCAGACTTAACTTATTAGTTTATATATTGAAAATAGTTATTGCATTTCTTGCATAGGAATAGCTATTCTATATGAAGCTGCTTTACCTTAGTACACTTCCAGTACAGTTAAGGTGTAATTCTGTAAAACAGACAGCTCTGGGATCAAGATGAAGTTGATTTGAGTATTTGTGCACAAAATTACTGATTTAATCAAGTTTTCTTGAAGCTGCACTTCTTCTGTAAACCACTGGAAATAAGATTCAGGCAAAAAGAAACCAGTCTGTGCACAGGCTGTCCTACCAGGACTGGGTTCATGCAGATGGTGGCCTCAGGATGCTCTTGAGACTGAAACAGGTCCCTGTCCTGCTCTGAGGGTCCCCTTGGGGCAACCCGAGGGGCATTTCAATGCTGGGTGGAGAAAAAGGTCCCCAGGGTTGTGTGGCCACAAGACAGACACAGAGACAGGCAGACACACATACGTACAAGCACATGGCTGGACTTGGGCTGGGAGTGGGCAGCCCTGGCTCAAGTGAATCCCAAACGGCTTGTCCTGGCCGAGCGCTCGCTGCTCTCCGTGGGGAGCTGCCGTGGGGTGTGAGGAGGAGGAGGAGGAAGAACAGAAACAAACTTACCTTGTGAAACTTTGGTGGTGAACAAAAGGAGGCAAAGGAACATGAAAGAAAGAGAGAGGGAGAAATGTAACTGTAGACGATATATCCAAAACACATGGAGAACCAGAAAAGAACGAATAAATTGGGGCTGCAGAGTAAACAGAGAACAGCTACTCTACCATCAGACATTGACACCAGGGCTGAACATAGTTTAAAATCCTTGTATTTTAAGTGGATCATTTCATTTGGGGCTCTTGTTTAAAGAGGATGGGGGAATCCTCATCTGCTTTCCAGCTCACCGGCCCAAGCCAGACAGGCTGGATGGACTAACACCTCTGAGCGATGCTCCCACAAACACTTTTCACTGTGACATTGCTATTTCACGGGTTTGACCGAAGGGGAACCGCTGAAGGAAGGTGGCAAACAAGATGTCATGGTGTATCAGACAGTGCATGGCATGCTGCTTATGGTCCGAGAGCTGGGACAACTACACCTGATGGCTTTTTGGCAGTTTTGCTGCTGAATTTGCTTGTGCCCACAGATAACTCACAACCGCAGTGTCCCTCAGCCCAGCTGGGTGCTGCAAACCCTGGTGGTATTTAACGTTCCTACAATATTTTAAGCACTTACACTACCACAGCATTTGGTAGGAAACTGCAAAAAAGGGTATTTTAACTACTTTCCTCAGGCACAGTTTGGGGGACAAGTCTATTTAGATTTTTAAAAAACATAATAGGTCTAAGCAGGCAATTTGTCTTCAGAATTTCCTTCATCTCCTGAAGGGTTACCAGCTGTTTTAGGATGTTGTTCTCTTCCAAGTCTTTCAAGCGCTTTCTGCTTCCTTTCCTTCCCAGGGCAGCTGCATTACCTGCCCTAGCAGGGGCCCTGCAGAGAAGAGAGGCTCGTGATGCTTTCCAAAGTCCTTCGGAGCCCGAGTGTACAGGAACCATGCAATCACCTGCTGCTGCTTCTGGCAAGGTCTGAGCACTGTCATTAGCAAAGGAGTGACAAGCGGACAGTGTGATTACAGGTAACTTCTTATTACTGTCTGGCAATCAGTCCCTGAGTCAGTTGCCCACGGGGAGTCCTCGTCCTGTGAAACTCCAAGCAATGGTGCCTTTGCTCGTTCATAGGCACAACCACGCAAGTCGTTAATTCAGAGGGCAGAAACTGAGCGAGGGCTTCCTTCAGAAACCGGGCTTGACTTCTTGGCTGCATTCGTTAGAGGTGAAACAACGCCTGGACAAACAGTCCCCGACTTCTGTCCACTATGTCACCTCAGTGTGACATTACTGTATTGATTTCTGTGGTATTTCTGTCAAGAAATGGCACAAACCCTTTTATAACAAGCTCCGAGCAGCTAGGGAGTTCCTGGAAAGGCCATTCCTCTGCGTTCATTCTGCACGATGCAGCTAACGAAGCAGTGTGCTGCGTGGGCTGGGGACAAGGTGTGCCTTTAGCAGAGGGAAGCTTGCCTGGAAAGCCATAGGAAACTCATTTTCCCGTTGGCCTTGGCCAGCTAATTAGCTCTGGTTTGCCTCAGCTCCATGCCTCCTCCCCACAGCTGTGATGAGGGGTTTGAGGCAAGCACGAGGCGGCAGCCACCACCAAGGGCAGCGGATAAATTTGCGTTGGGATATTTGCAGCAGCAAGGGGAGAGTCCAGATTTTTTTATTTTTTTTTTTGCAAGAGAATTAAGTGCTTCCTTTTAATCTAACTTTGCCTTCAGACAGGAGGTAAAGTTAAGGACGGTTCCCAAAGCCATATGGCTGCTTAAAGAAGATATCTGTGGTGCTTAATGGGGCCAGCTGGCAATTCATTTAAATTAGCAGAGAAAATGCCCCATGCCATTGTGCTGCCAAAAGTAATTAAGTGTGGCAGCAAAAACTGTATTCAATTAATCTTCCTTCTGGGATATATCCCGCTAAAGGGCACCTAACAGGAGATGAGGGCTGGACAGGACCCCCTGAGGTCAGTCGGTCTCTTCCCGTGTCCAACCTTGCTCCTGATAGATCTGGGTCTACCCGCTCTTGGGGTCTTCCAGTGACAGAGAGGGCCGATCCTGCCATGCCACCTCTTCAGCATTTTGACCTTACTGGAGAGAAAACGTCTAATTTCCACACAGATCTTTCCTGCTGTTACTTAAGTCTGTCTTAGGCTAAACTGCTGCCCTCTCACATTTACTAGCCCACTGAACCTCTTCGTTGCCTGCTGTCTCACAGTCCTCTGGACTCTCTGCAGGTTGTCCCCATGAAGCACAGCCTCCAGAGCTGGCCACGAGCCTCGCCGCAGCTTTCCGTGTGCCGAGAAAGGTGAGGGGAGCAGTTAACGTCCCCCCACAGGCCCTGCTCCTACCTGGGCAGCGTTTGTTCCCTCAGCAATGTACTCCTGTGCAGCTCGTGATGCGCTACAGCCACCATCTCCTTCTCTGAAACAAGTTGTTCCCTAGCGTGTATTTATGCAGTTGATTAATCCTTCCTTAGTGTCTTGGGCTCGTCTCTACTGAGTAGCTTTTTTTTTTTTCGGGCCATTTCTTCGATTTGCTTGAATCCAGACGCCGCCCTCGCTGTGCCTGCCATCCTTGCAGCCGCCACGGGTGCGGGCCTGGTAGGCCATGGCCCTGAATGAAAATACTGAACAGAGCTGGATTCAGGAGGGACCTTTCAACACACCTCTCCTTGTATCTTTCCAGTTCAGGAAAATGTGTTTAAAGAACGGTTCTCAAGTGCGTTTTCACCCAGGCCATGTCTCCCTGGCTTGCCGGTAGGAGCGCTGGGTGAGACGGTGTCAGGGTCTGAAGGTCAGGAGGGATGGCTGACCGCCGCCGCTACTCACAAAACGAATCCCTCTGCCACAGAAGGGAATCAAGCCAGCCTGACACAGCTTGCTCTGGACAAACCCAGGCTGACTTACTTTCTTTTTATTTTCTAAGTGCATGCAAGTCACTCGTTTGATTACTTCTTCCAGAAATTGAACTATACCTGACTGGCCTATAACTCTTCTCCTTTTCCCCCTCATTAAAGACAATATGACATTATCCTCAAAGCTCTCCCCTCGGAGCAGGCTCCCCCTTTTAATGGCTGAGAATTAGCACTAGAAGATGAAAAATTGCGGCGAGCCTCCCTAACCACCACCCAGCTCTCTACCCGCTGACAGCCAGCCAGGCCCCCACCCAGGGACCGCGGCACTCGTCCCTCGGGGAAAGCCGGAGCAGAGTCCCCGAGCCCCGGCTGCTTCCCGCCCTTCTCCTCACTGCCAGCCCCATCAGCTTAGGGACCGCCGGCCGTGCCCTGCCTCTAGCCCATCAAAATTGTATGGCACCCTCGCAGGGACGCGTGGAATCGGCCATTTCAAGGTAAGAAAAACTAGAGGTGGGCAGTAGTTTCGTATTTGTTTTAACCATTTCCCATCTGCATGGAGATCGAAGTTGCAACAGCGTACAATTTCTGTCCAGTGCATCAAATAGTTTGCACACAACCAAAGCAAACTGTTTCCTGGCAGTGTTTTTAAATGAAATGCCTTAATTCTTCCATTGAAACATTGTTTCCTTTTTAAGTTACTGTTTGGTTTTTTTCACATGAAAACAAAACATGAAAAACTCCAAACATTTTGGATCTGACAGGGCTGTTTGATCCAGCTGGGAGCAACTGATCTCTTCTGTTCTTTGTTTTGATTGAAAAATGAGTTTTTCCTTTATTCTCCATCAATCAAGAGCTGCTTTATTTAGCCATTACTTTCTCTGCATGGTAAGTAAACTTAAAACCCAGCTATTTAATGAGACAGCGAGAAACTGCCAAGGGCTGCAAGTTGTCAGATGATATATAGCTGGTTAATGTAAGACACATTGACTCCTCTTTCACTTCTCTCCTGCTACCAGGGGGACCGGGATGAAATAATGTTGCTGTGGTTGGGGACTTCTTGGCTTGAGCATCCCCACCACATGCTGCTCACCCACCCTCTGCCTCCCAAACTGGTGGGGTCCAGCCAGGTGCAGGGAACAGCTTTGGGGTGATACGTGCAAGCTGTATGGTTTTCCCCAGCAACCAAACTGGAAAACCAGTAAGATTGTCCTGAGCCCTAGCCTTTCTGCCTGGAGGACATACACAAACAGCATTGTGGAGAAAAGAAAAACCACAGTTTCAGCTGTCGGTCTTTATCTGGACAGATGCTGTCCTGGCTCACCCCACAACCGCAGAACTGGGTCTTGCCAGAGAGCGAACTGCACATGGAGGCTGTCCAGCAGAGGAACAGCACAAGAGCATATGATTATGAACACATAATTATGGGATTACACACAAATTGAGCAGGTTCTTAAAGACACGTCACAGATGTACAGCAATTCACAATTTATCCTCAGAAATAATTTGGGCTACCCCTGCTCTGCAGGTACATCTGAGAGGAAACTTGGCAGGTGATTTGCAGGGAAAAATGAAGGGCAGTGCTGCCTTCGTCCTGAGGGAAGCCTTTTGCCTCACTTACATTCAGGTTTTTAATAGCCATTGTTTGCTTTGCGTTGGGATTGCCTTTAACTCAGCCTGTAAATTGAAGCTGGCTCAGAAATTAGGAAGTGGTTTGGTGACAGGGTTTAACCCCTGGGTTTGGCAACTGGTTTCCTGCTGTGTGGTGGTTTGTTTTTTTTTTTTTACAATTTCATCCATTTCATCTTTAGGCAGGTGCCTGGCAACTTCCTGAGATCCTCTTTCCTCCTCTGTCATGCAGCCACAGATGTCATCAGCAGCGATGACAAAGTGGAGCCCCTTCAAACCAAAAAGCAACAGCTGATGGTAAGACAATCTCTGGGAGAAGCCCTTGCTTTGGGCACTGCCTGACCTGCCAGCCCGAGGGATCTCAGACCGGTTTGGTTTGGGGCAATGCCCACCAGCCTCTGCCACCCTGACTTGTGGGCTGCTTCTGGCTTTGGAGGCGAAGTGAGCCTCTACCTTAATTCTCAGTGATATGGCACAGGTGATATGATACAACTTTTACAGCAGTAAAAGCCTTTAGCAGATAAACTTACAGAGCCTGTATTCTAGATTGACAATATATACTACCTGGGTGACCTAAATTAAGTATGTTTAAAAAAGGATTCTTCTCTTCTTCCTCTAGACTAGTATTTTGGAGGCTTCTTAAAAGGTGTGGGGGAAATCCTTCTAGGAGTAGCTAGAGAGTCCTGCTCAGCCTAAGAACTTGGTGTGAAACATGAAAAAAAGCCTTTGGCTAAATGTATTCTGAGGAGGACGGGAAGCATCTAGAAGAGTCCCCAGGGCTTTTCTGGGGACAGCTGGCCCTGCGTGCTCCCTGGGAGCAGAACCAGCCTTGTGGGAAGGTCTCGCTAACCAGAGAGATGCAGCCAGAGTCACAAGAGAGAAAGGGTTTTCTTGTTCAAACACACACACAGATGCGACCAGGGCGGAAGGGGCTCCAGGCGGCGGAGTTCACAGTGCTGGGGGGTCTCACCCCTTCCTGCACTTTTCATTTTATAAATGGGAAAGGAAGATCCTAATCCACGTGGTGGGATGGGAGGCTCTTCCAGATATGTCACAGGGCCCATCCCAACTGCCTCCCAGCAATTGCTCTGCCTACTATGTTTCTCATGAACTTGCAGAGCCCATCCTGTGGCTCTTCTTCCCTACAGTGCAGCCTGATGGCTTCCAGCGGTATTAGCTGGGACCCAGCAACATGGTCACAGAAGGGAGAAGTTGGGGTGGGGGGAGTGTGCTGTACTTACTTGCAAGAATGACCATGTCCATCCCCCAAAATATACTCATAATCCAGCCAACCATCACGATCGCTGTCAGGATCTGGATCAGAGCAGCAGCAATGTTCAGCCAGAAGACACAACACATGTGCCTGTCCGGGAGGTCGGTCCGGGCTCCACACAGCACGGTGAAAGCAGATACAAATGTTCCTAGGGAGAAAGCAGCAACAAAATGCACTGTGAAAGCTATGGCTTTGTGCCAAATGTCTTCCCTTAGACCCACTTCTCATAGCATCCCACTTCTTGTGCTCCCACTGCTGTGCTGAAAAGCTGGAAACGCCTTACAGGAGGACAAATGGAGGCACAGCAATATCTCACTCGAACACGCTACTGTCGCCCATTAAATTACACCAATATGTATACTTGAAAACCAGGACAGAAAAAACACTCTTTGGGGTTTGGCTCCTTCCCCCCGCACCCAACAGTAACCACTTATGCACGGTAGGCAGTTTACAAGGGAGTGCTGTGTGTCTGTGGAAATACCAGTCTACCTTTTTTCTGCATGGTGGCTCTCTCCTGGGGAGAACGTTTACTACCCAGAAGTCCTAAAAGGGAAAATTGCACTTGGAGGTAGAGCACGACTGGCTCTAGAAAGCTGTACAGGTCTGGCAGTCTGTTACTATTCACAAATACTGCTCTAGAAGGAGCACACAAAAAAGAAAGGGGTGCTAACGTGACACTGCATCTTTGCACAACACTTTCCCCAGTCTGTTTTAACAAAGCAGAAGCGGCTAAACCAGTGCTGGAGCCAGGCAACCTGGTGTTGCAGCCCTTGGCTCTGCTTGAGACCAACTTACAAAACTTGCAAACACCCTTCAGACTTCCTAAAACAATTCAGATGAAGGATCTTGTTGATGTATGAAAGTTAAAGCTGGGAGAAGAAAACTGCACCACAGCAGCCTTTACACAGATTCTTCCTAAATTTACCACATTGGACAAGCCTGAGCGTTTATTTGCTGCTGATGTTGTGGGCCCATGGCTACCTGAAACCTGCAGCTCAGGGAAGCCTTGTCTGTCCCACAACCAACCTGCAGAAATACACAGCAAACAGCTGAAGAAACTGTTTCTGACCCCTATAATGTACAAGCTTTTGGGCAGGAGGTTCAATCTCCTGATTAAGCATGCATTTCAACACCTCTTACTGTTATGAATTGTCTTTGGTGGTTTTTTTTTTAACATAAATACAGCATTGCTAAGGTAGGTAGAAAGGCGTAATGTGGATTCTACTAGAAAAAGTAGTTCTGTGAAATGCTTTCTTTAATGAATGTCCTGAATTAAAAATCCTGCAGCATGATGTCCAGTGGTTTCTACAAAAACTGTCCTTTTTCCTGTCAAAGCATGGAATCCTGCAAACACCCTGTAAGATGTGAATGAATGAGCTCATCTTCAATGCACACAAGTGCACTGCCAGGGTGGTGGAAGAAATAATCTCTTCCGTTGCTGCCTCTTCTTCAGTGGGTCACAAGGCTAACAGGCAGTTAAGATGCCAACATGCCGGGGAAAGCTGGCTGGAGCCTATTTTTAATCTCACCATCCTCTGCAGGCTTCAACTCCAGCATCTTCCTAACACTCCACCATCTCCTAAATCTCCGCTCGTCTCCCTGCCGCTGGCTCGATCTGATTCCGTACTCCCACCCGCTCCCTTTGCCGCACACCAAAGCTGGGCACGGAGCAGTGGCAGAGGGGGGTGGGTGAGCGCTGCTGGGGCGGTGGGAGGCAGCCCCATGGCAGAGCATCACCGGCAGGGAGATGGGCAGCATCTGCTCCCCTGTCAGAAATGCCCCCCTGGCCTTCGTCCTCTGACTGTTTGGCTTTCACAGGCAGGGTATCATCCCCTTATCCACCAAAACAAAAGAGTCTGCACAGAGGAAGAGGGGAAATGGTTTTAATCCCGAAGGATGTTGTATAAGTCTCCCCGTTGCTTGTTAAAAGAAAGGCTGTCTTTTCCTCTGTGGCATTGTCTTCCATGTCTTTTGTGTCCTCCATGTGGGATTACACGAGATCTCTGCCCCACTTCACCTACCTTTTTTTTTCCTTTATAGTTTCTCCAAAGCAGAAGGGAGCCTGGAATATTCCCCTGTGCTTCCTGAAACTGTTGTCTACAAAGTTACACCACAGCACTCTCTGAGATTAAATATGGATTGAGGCACGCTCAGAGACTGAGTGTTTACATTTTCCCATCAGGATGCAAAATCTTGCCAAATGGAAATGCATGTCTCTTTTTTTAAATGAAAATGAAAATCCTCCCCTCTCGCCTTACCTTTAACTCTTCCAAGATGAGTTACAAAAAAGATCATAAATGAGCAATAATTCTTAAGTTACAGCTTCAAATCCTTCCAGTGAAGCTTTTAAGATTTTTACATCATTAGAGTGAGGTGCTGAATTAGCTAATTAATCTCCTAAATACCACAGTGACTAAGCTAACATCTAGTCCCATTCAGAAAGGAATAAAGCAAACAAAGCTGTTAAGTGTCCCTCTCTGGACAGGGAATTGATACAGAAACTAGGATTAAAATCTCATGAGCCTTGGCTTCTGATTCCCTCTTCAGGCCACTTTCCTACTCATGGGAGACAATTCATTTTCCAGTGCCAGTGCATTTTCTTTATTAATGATGATTAACTACTCTTTGGGAGGTTGTTGGCATTTGTAAATACAAGACTTGAGACACGCCAGCAGACATACCTCTAGTCCACATATGCTTTAAAATGTGAAGCAGAAGAAAGAATCTTAAATGCATTTGCCAAGGTAGATATTTTCCCCTTAAGAAGCCATCGTAGTTACACATTGCCAAATATGGAAGTATTTGCATCTGGAAGCAGAGAGGTGGAGAGGAAGAGGAGGAGGAGGAAGGCAAGCAAGCTGTATCTGCCGATACGGCCTGGCTGCATCAGAGCTGGGGCACTGAACCACTTTGCTTCCTGACCCAGCATTCAGACACTTGAATACCTATAGCCTAGAAATCATAAACATATGCAAACTGCAGCTGGGATGATGTTGGCCAAATAAATCAGCTGTCCAAAAAGGTCTCAGGCTGTGAGTGTAACCAGCAAACACAAACTGCTAACTTTGCAAGCAAACGTAAGCTAAAAGACCCCCAGCTATGCCAGCATAACATAAGTATATTATATCAAGCATTTCTTATATCTTCCCAATGAAATACACCCAAAACACAGCAAAATCTGGGATTATTCTAAATTGTGAATTAATACAGCCTTTTTGGGGACAGAGGAGAGGTGGTGGAGAGAAGATGTCCTATGCTACCTAACGACTCTGTCCTTCAGCCTCATGGGGCATCAGGGCCCACCGCAATGACCTGGCTGAGCCATACGGCCCACCTGGCACCCAGGGCCAGCAAGTGCCAGGGGCTGGGCAGAGAGGTGGGTGGGAGCTGAGAGTGGTCCTCCTGGAGCAGCTGTGGGGCAGAGGGTGAAGGCACCATGTGCAGGGAGGCTGGGAGGGGATGGGAAGCCAAGCTTGCTCTTTCAACTCATCTCGTCTCACTCGGGGCACTGTCAGCCAGCCGGGGCACCGCATACCGTTTTTGGCCAGGGAAGAAAGCCTCTGGGAGCCTGTGTTTGCTTTTGCTGTCAGCCAAATAGGGGTATTTTTAGATTACACCAATAAATATGGAAGGCTTTTTTGTTTTCAACAGTTTAACCCATTGAACAAGAAGGGGATGTGTTATCTACAGGACAACATTATAAAGGGAGAGACAAAGGAGGGGATCTTGCCCTTTCTCTCCTCTCTGGTCCATTGTCATGCGGGATAAAGTCCCCTCTCTGGTGTATGCTGGTACCCTGACAGCCATGGCCTTCCCAAGAGCATCACCTGCTGGTTCCTGGCCTCACAGAGTACACCGAAATAGTATGAGGGAGGAATAGTTTGGGTTTTTTCTCTTAGAGGAAAACCTCACACCCCAGAGAGAGCGCTCCTGGTTCACTGCTCTTTGGGTCACTCATCCAGGTCAGAGGAAGACATAAGGTCAAGTCCATGGCCTGTCCTGTGCAGTCTCCTGCCTGCTGCCTGAGTGCAGCAGCGACTCTGTTACGGAATATCTCAAGCTGCATGAAAGTTTTTCTCTCCTGTTTTTTTGCAAGATTGCCTATCCTGGGCACTCCTGCAAGAGCTTCAGTCAGATGTGGGGCTTGGCACACTTCATGTGGAGGACCCAGCTGTGAACAAACTTCTGATGGCACCTTCACAGAAACATCAGAAGTGGGAGCCTGGTTGGAGCCAGGGTGCAAACCAGAGGGAGACGAGACACCAGTGGCCACAGTGTACGTATAAGTCATTTGAGCACACAGACAACCTGTTAGTGGGCTTCCCACTGACTACCAGGTATCTGAAACTTCACAACAGAAAGCATCTCTGCAGCAAGGCAATCACATCTGATGAGCTGTGCTGTTACAAGTGGAGGAACAGCAGAAACCCAAATTACTGCAGTCAGGTGCATCATGTGGAGGAGATGATGATGATGATGATGATCATGATCATGATCATGATCATGATCATGATCCCTACCCTACAAAAGCCTTGAGCCAGGAAGGGGCTAGGAAATACCCCTTCCTTTTCACACAAGCCTGGAGAGTATTTAAGATAGTCCCCTGTAGTACTGGGAGTAAAGAAGGCAGTGGCATGGTGCCTCCTTTCCTGCTCCCAGAGGGAAAAATAGGATCATGTCACAACCCAGGAATTGGAGCAAAGCTGCAGGTAAGCCCAGGTGAAGATGAGAAGGACAAGGGAATGACATTTGAGGTGTCTGTGGGAGCAGGGCTCTTGGATTGACAGTGGGAGATGTAATTAATAAGTGTGTGTTTTGTGGAGATGAGATATACCTGTGTAGCTGAATTGTGTTAGGGGAGTGCTCTCTGTGGGGACATGTCTGAAGTGCCTTTGAATTTTTTTAGGTAAAATTATTATTAGCTGTCATTAAACAGTGTTGGCATGTATGTGAGGCAGATGTTGTGGATGTGCTGAAAATTCATGAGATGTGCTGGTTCTTGCTTGTACAAGTCAGAAAAACTGTGTGAGAAGGGTAATAAGGATTGCACTTGTTTCCTTGGTATTACAGTGAATATGGTATCTATTGGTCAAGATATCCTTGCCTCCTAAGTATCACAAACTTGTTTTTATACTCTAGCTTGAGCTG